CCAGCATGGCTGGCTGGGGAATTCTGGGAGTTGAAGTCCACACATCTTCAAGTCGCCAAGGTTGAGGAACCCTGCTATATCAGTTTAGCCACTCCATGCAACTGAGGAAGTGTGCTGCAGTTCATGGAAACTTAAGCCTTTTAATAAAATGCACTAGTCTGAAAAGATGCTACCAGACTTCTCCTGATTTTAGGTTAAAAAAACCCTCATGCAATATTTTGCCTCGGTGAAGCAAGAAATGAGAAAACAGAGTCTGGCTAGTTGGTAGAAAGTATGAATAACGGCCAATTCCAACAACGGTTCACCCCAATCTTCATGGTTCCTCAAAATTCCACTAAAGCCAGTTTCAATAATGCATCGAATCTAGATTTAGTAGTGCCTTAACAATCCAATAAATAATTAAATGCACCACCATTAGTAGGACTCCCATTAATCATGACTAACCCACTGCACCAATGTCAGTTTGTCCAAAATTTTGGGGGGAAAACTCTTCAAAAGGCAGCATATAAATCTTTAAATACTCTGGATCCAAATCAGTAATAGGGCAGTAAAAAGAAAATTAGAGAGCAAACCATACATCAAGTGGGCATCAGTGTAATTTCTAGTTAATCCATTTCCTTGGATATAGACTGCCGGTCATCACAGACAACAAGCGTCAGCGATGGGCAGCGTCTGTTAATAAGGTGGGGCAGTTCATCGATTATCACTCTGTTCACAGGTTTGCAGATCCTGTAGGGTTTCAAAAGAAAAGAGCATGATTAGAATATTATTATGATGGTTAATATTGTTCGTAAAGGTTGCACAACACACTAGAAAAGTTCTCTCTCTCGTTCTCAGTGAAAGTCATGCAACCTTTACAAGCAATGTTAACCATCTTAATCACCCTCAGATATCCGCTCCATGGGGGGAAAATGACCTGATCCTTCTCTTTCTAGGTTTGATAAGGAGCCCTTTCAGGTCCCCGAGGGGATTCCAGCCAAGATGGAAAAGAGACTGGAGGAATTCTCTGAGAAAAATACAGCACTTGCAGAAATGCTGAAGAATCTCAAAGGTACGGAAGATCTGCTCTACAAATTAGGACTAGACTCAGCAGCAACATAATGTCATGTGAAGGGTTCTGGCCAACCTGCTAGCCATCCCTTCTTTTGGGATTCTCTGTGACATTCCCTCCAGTTTTTCTGCCTTTCCCTCTGCTACCCCTTGAGATAGATAGTAGGCATTCTGGGTCCTCTGGTCCTGCTCAGACCTCACTGGGTTGTTTGAGATGTTTTCCCCACATGCATTAAGGCTATGTCGTTCTAATACCGTACCATACTTCTTGAAACCTTGGAGTGCCCTTGAACCTGTTGACACCTTTTTTTCCTCTGCAGTCATGCCCTGGCTACAATCTAGTTGGCACCCAACACCTGTAGTTTCTATCAGATGGAACAACTGGGGGAAAATCTAACTCAAAACTTCTTTTGAAAGTATTACAAAAGGCTCAAATCCAACATTGTATTTATGTTTTCTCTAGAGCCTCCGGGTGAATGATAATATGAATGAATGTTATGTTGGTCTTTATTCATTTCTTTCTAAGCACTTTTCTGGTATTATTGTCAGTTCCTTCTGGTTAGAGACGACCTTGTACGTTGTAATTTCCACTTGTAAGCCTCCTAGGTTTCTACAACGATTTACATTGTGTTTTTGTTTTCCTTTTGACATATCATCCTGGGAATCAGTCCTCTAGAAGCACTCTTAAAATCTGTGGTTTTAGTTTAAATAAATACTATAAACATTTTTTTTAAATGTTAAATCAATATTGTCACTTGCAAAATAGATACAATAGTTAAATCAACTGCTGAATCAATTTAACTTTTTTTTTTCTTCCTACCATTTTTCCTGCAGGTGCAGGATCGGCTTTTTTTGTTCCTTTTTTGGATTGCAACCAATGAATGAAAAGAATAAATACTGTACTAGTAGTGATCACAAATTCCCCAAATCTCTGAATAGTTTTTTTTTAAATAAATATGTGTTCTCTGTGTGTGTGTGTTAAAGAGTTATTTATATACTTACTTTATATATAAAACTGCATATATTAATATTTTAATGTCAAAGGGTTCAAATCAAATCATGCTCATCTCAGAGTGGTGTATTTGTGTTGTTTTCTTGGCAAAAATATAGAAGTGGTTTAGCTATTTTCTGGGATGTTTTTTTCAACTTCCCAGGGTAGTCTGCAATCTGGGACATACTGCCCCTGTTTAGAGATCAGCCAAAGTCAGCTACATTCTAACACATACAAATTAAAATAAAACACTATAAACAAGGGGCCTGTTTTCTGACAAAATTCACCCTTTGATACCATCAAAACGAAGTGCCTTCAGTGATTCATCGCAAGTGTATGGGACTTAGTTGCAGGCATGCTCAAATTGTAACATCTTTAGCCATTTTGAAAATTAACAGCTTCTTTGAAATAAAATGCCCTTCTTCTCTTCCTTTTCTTTAGACACTTTGCCATCAGAACTAGGAACCGAATGGGGTAAGTATGTGATAGACATATTTGAAATAAAGTTTGTTCATGCTTCTTTGGCTCTGTAAGGAAATGATGGCTATTACAGTAAGATTTGCCATAAGTTAGCTAGTTTAATGCACTAGATCAACCTTGATGCTTTTATTTTTGACTTTGGTTCTCATCATTCTGTCCAGGTGAATATTGCATGAATATGGATGTGCTATAGGTTTACCTTCAATACGAGAAATCCAAGATCAGTCAAAATTGATCAGCTGCTGTCACCTAACTGGGTTATTTGCATTAGCATTTTGATAAAACTAGTGCCACAATTTTCATTTTGATTGTCTCATTCATTCTTCACTTCTTTCTCTCTGCAGTTAACATAACCCTTGACAAAGACACGGCAAACCCCCAAGTCATAATTTCTGAGGATCGAAAAAGTGCGAGATGGGACGTCACCCGGACTGACGTGCCACATAATCCTAAGCGATTTAAGTCTTCTTGCTGTGTGCTGGGTTGTGAAGGATTCACATCTGGGAGACACTATTGGGAAGTCAATGTAGAAGATGGAGGCATCTGGGCCATAGGAGTAGCCAGGGGCTCTGTGAGGAGGAAGACAGAACTCAAGCTCACTCCAGAGGAGGGGATTTGGGCCTTGCAAGGAGATTTTGGTCAATACCAGGCTCTCACCTCACCTGTAACAGCTCTGCCACTCCTTTGCACTCCCAGAAGGATCAGAGTATTTCTGGACTATGAAAGGGGGCAGGTAGAATTCTTCAATGCCGACACAAAAGATTCAATCTTCCTTTTTCCCTCAGCATTGTTTGCTGGTGAGAGAATTTTTCCCTTTTTTAAGGTGTTGCTGGCTCAGCTGACGCTTGATGGCTGAAGAGTTTCCTTTGAGGAAGATGTACCGGCATTACCTCAAATCTGAAATCAAGAGGGGTTTAAAGGAAGAATTATGCATGTTGAATGAAGTTCTGGTCTGCTTTAATAACCGCAAGTACTAAAAAGTGGAAGTGGTTTCTCCAGATGTAATTAGTATAGATCAGTGGGGTGCTGTGTTGTATATATGACATTGAATGTGGATGATGTCTGCACTGTAATCTAGGAAGTGGATTAGAACAATTGGTTTTAATTACATAGTAGCCTGCAAAGTTGTATAGTTTTGTCGATTCACCAGTTCCTCATCTGTTGTAATAGATCCATATCATTTTGTCAAAGAAGACGGCATGAACATCATCTGAGGCCTTTGTGTTTTGTCTGTTACTAATTTTTAATGATAAATGTTACCTTTTATTGGGTTTCTTTTTTAGACAAGCTGCGTCCCTATGGACTGAAAAACAGGGTGAAAATAATAAAGTGAGTCAAATCAAATGACAAAGAAGAATAGGCGCTTCACATAAGGCTTCAAAATACAGTGGTACCTCAGTTCACGAACTTAATTTGTTCTGCGACTCTGGTCCCGGCCTCCAATGTTCGCGGCACGAAACAAAATTTTCCACAAAGTTTTAAATTAAAAAGAGTTATATCGTTTTTTCCCCCCCCAT